AAAAATTGTATTGATATATAAATTTTTCAAAAAGTTATAGCATTACAAAAATCTTATTTTTTTTTTTTATTAACTTTGATGTCCGTTTTCACTATGAAATCAAAATAAAGTCCGAAATTTTTTTTTTTTCATAATAAAGTTTATTACATAAGCTTTAATCTATGTAAAATTGTTATTGTTTCCGTAACACTTAATATTATACTAAAATAATATTAACCTGAATAATACATTTCTTCTCACGATGGAAGACTATAGTGATGGGATTTTTAATATTTGTTGAATCTAAATGAGGTAAAAATCAAATGTGTTGAAATTTTTTTTTTCTCAAAAAGATTTAAGGAAAAAATGAAAAGAATTCATTGTCACAGGCGGGTACGAAACTGGTACCCTAAGCGCAAATACAAAGTGTTACCAATTCAGCAACCGCTCGTCACATTCGTCGGTTAATAAAATTGACAATTTAAGATAATTGAAATTTTAAAGTTACCTATTTCTACATAAAAGAAGCAAAACAATTTAAATTAGTTTTACTTTATATTCTATGTCAATTAGGTTTATAAAATATTTATGAAAATCAGTGTAGTTCCCTTATAAGATATATTAAAATAAATTAATATACAATACTAAGAATTTTAACACAAAAATAACATATTTTTGGATATTTCACTATGAAGACGATCTATATATTGAATTTTTTTTCAATAATAAATTATATTACATAAGCTTTAATTAAAGGTATATATAAAAGTGTCAGTATTTCCGAAAACTTTCAAAAGTTATTTTTTTATGAAAAAGTTGTCATTTTTAATCCCCCCTGTGGCCAGGTAAAGGGTCAGATTTATAAAAAAAATACATCAAATGATAGGTAAAGACACATTATGTATCTTTAAAAATATATATATACTGATTTGGTTATTTTTAAAAAAATTATGACAGTTTTAAGTAAAAAAAAACCCAGCACAGTAGGGTCGTGGCATAGTTGGGTCCAGTATAGATGGTATCTGACAGTGATTAAAATCACTATCATTAGAAACGCTTCGATGCAAATCTGTAGATAGTGTTTAATTTAAAAAAAAAAATATGTTAAAATAGCATATTTTTGAATACGGTAGACATTTTCGCATAGAAGATAGGTCGTCGGGACAAATTTTTTTTTTTTATTTTATAGTACATGAAATAAGCTTTAATTTGATATATGTTTGAAGGACGCAGTATTTCCGGAACATTTTCAAAAATTAAGTTGAAAAAGTTAATTTTGGTAAAAAAGTTGCTATTTTAAATCCCCACTAATGAGCAGGTTACGTGATAGATTTTCAAAAAAATGATATCAAATGAAAGGTAGATATCTAACGTTTTAGTAAAAAAAAATTATGTTGATTTGTTGATTTTTCAAAAAGTTATGGAAGTTTTAAGAAAAAATTTCGAAAATTAGCGATTTTTAAATTTGTAATTTTTTTGGAGGTTTCCCCCATTTACGGGGAACGAGGGCATTTTTTTCAATTTTTGAGGGTAGTGTCTTCGACTAGATACAATTTGTGATCTTTTGACGTATTTTTGAAAGAAATCGGTCCAGTGAGAGCTGAGAAAAAATGGCAACAGACATAAAAAAAAAAAAAAAATACATCATAGTAAAATTAATACCTTCTCCGCTTCGCATCGAAGCTAAAATTGTAAAAATTAGCGATTTTTAAAATTGTAATTTTTTTGGAGGTTTCCAAAAACGGGAAACAAGGGAAATTTTTTCAATTTTCGAGGGTAATGTCTTCGACTAGATACGATTTGTGATATTTTGACGTATCGTTGAAGGAAATCGGTTCAGTGAGAGCTGAGGAAAAGTGGTAACAGACACCAAAAAAATAAAATACATCACAGTAAAATTAATACCTTCGATACAAGCTGAGAATATTTTAGTATTTAAAATTAATTATTAAAAAATATCTTTTCGTATGAAAATATTTTAGAACAAATTGATAACATGATTTTTACTTTAGTATTAAAATATTAAAATTTATTTAATATTTATAAAATACAATTGTTAAGTAATGACTGGAGGTGAATAGTGAGTGCTACTATTTTAATAACTTGACATTCTCAACCGTTCACCAACTTATAAATATATCAATAACTTCCGTAATACTGGTCCAAAAAATTTTTATGGAGCAATCATTTTCTAATTATCTAATAAATAAGCTAGTTAATTTAGTGTTTAAAATTAAAGTGATACCATCATAAGGTATAAGGGATGAATGTAAAAAACTTTTTTTTGTTTATTAGTTATGACCAGAAATATCCTGTACTACTGCCAAAGGTGTCTAATTTCAGTACTCTATTAATTCGACATTATCATTTTAGTTTTCTGCATGGAGGTTCAAAACTGATACTCCATGTTAAAAGAGGGGAAGGCCCTCATTAGATTAGATTTAATCATTATTATCATTGTACCACTGGAATTCCAAATCGCTTAAAATTATTTGATTGTTATTATATAAGTAAAGATATTTTTTTATTGTTTAATAAATATCCGACCAAGAAAGCCACTCCAGACGAAGTTTGAAAGGAAAACTTTAAACAGCGGTAGGATGTTTGATAATGTCAAAGCAGGTTGGTGCGGTGAGTGTCGGTTTTCCCCATCATGAGGGCGACCTGTCCTAACCAGTTTTCAGTGTTAGAGTAGTGTGTGTGTGCGGTGGTTGTGAACGTCGTCACTCTCGCGGTCGTATGCTCCCGATGTCTATGCGGTAGTATTGCGAACACTGTTGTGCTTTATCGTTGACGTCTTGCAGCTGTATGTCACTGTTGGTCGCTAAATTTATTTTTATTTGACAAGGGCCCATAAACAACGTTATTCATTGTTTTGTACGTGAAACGTTTATCATTAATTTGTTCTGTGGTTTGAATAAGGTAACATTCGATTGTATCGGGCTCAAATGTCACATCCATAATAAATAGCTCATAGATGGCCGTAATTTAATCATTTGGCGATTGACGAAGAACCTATCGATACAGAATCAATCTACTGAGATCCAGATCCGATAAAAACGGTTTTTCTTTTAATGAATGTATAATTTCACTAATTTAATAATATATTTGTAATTTTTATTGTTATTTATTCGCTGTACAAAGATTTGTTTTAAGATTAAGTTACTAACATTAGAGTAAGAATTAATTGTATTTTCTTTTAAATTAAGTTTAATAATAATAAAAACTCTAAAAAAAACTTTACGTCCATAAAAATTTTATTTGAATTTTCTTTTATTATTTAATTTATTAACTTTACCTGTTTTATATACAGAACCAGCAAAGGCGAGACTTAACTTGGTGAATGGTTGTCCGAGTAGTTGCGTCATACAGATAATAATATGGATACTTATATTTATGAAAATAAAGAATATTTACAACAGATAAATATATTTATAGAGAGCTCTCTATAGCAAAAATAATGATGAACCCTATGAATTAATTTAATCAATTAATTACGTAAATGCAACCAATGCAATTATCTAGAACCCCACAAACGCATATAAAAATTCAAAAAAAGTTGTTTTTACAAAAAATAAAAAAGACAACAAGAACGTTTTTGCATCGAGTCCCATATTATCTGATACCAAATATATGTTTACATCTTTCCTAATGATGAAAAACTTCTTTCATAAAATTATAATTTATTTCTATATACCACTTTCTAAAATTTTTTATACCTCAATTATTATTTTCTAAATTTGATTTATAAGATGTTAATAAATTACGGAAACCAATTACTACGCAGGAAAACGTTATTCTAATTTAATTTTCTATAAAATGCGCGACTGTAAATAAATAATATCTCGAGAACTATTTGAAGTAGTGTCAGAATAGTAAATTTTCTTTACTTAAATTAAATCTTACATATAAGCTACTTTAATTTTTATTTCTGCCAATAAAGTTATTTTTTAAAATTATAAATTTGATAGCGCAGCAAAAGAATACGTTTAAAATATTAAAAAATATTTTATTAGATTCAACTTTAACGTTTTTTTTTATTCGAACAATATTCGCGGTTAATTGTCTCCAAGGCTATTCCGAAGGAAACGAGGGCATGTCAACCTTCAACTAAACAATATTTTATCGTTTAAGTTGGTTGGATATGATATGATAATGCTACCAAAAAAGTTGCACAATTTAAAAACAAAGATTCAACAAAAAATAATAATTTTTTCTTCGCCTGTATTTTTAACTTCAGGCTCTGATTACTTCCCAATAACGAATGTTGAGCTTTCTTACAATAAATAATTTTGATAATAAACCTCTTCATAAAATATATTTACTAACACATCTTAATAATAATAATTATTATTAATTATTTATTTTTCTAAGTTTAGAAGTATACAAAGAAATAAAATAATCATTTTAATGGAATTAAAGATATATTTTCATTCTTCCCTCTATAAAATTTATTTATAAAATAATAAACACAATATTTTTAATATTTGGGAAGCTAAAACTTAACATATATTCGCCAATATTAAATGGAAAAACATACAAACAGGAAAGGCGATTTTGTAAAAAAAAAAATTAAAATCTAGAAACAAATACAATTTGAATTTATGGCCTTTGAATTCTATAATGATATACTTTAATAAATGTCAACTAAAAATATTTATAAACTAGGAAAAAAGAGTTCTACAATGATTGACAGTTCAATTATTAAAGTTAAATGTACTGTATAATACATATGTGAGTAATCACTTGTAGTATAATTTATTTACCTAACGAAATAAATTAAACTAAAATACTACAATTTTAATCTGCTTTGAATAGTTAAAATATTTGTTAATATTTTGTCATATTATATTATATTTTGTTATGTTACATTTTGTAAATGTACAATTAAAAATCCTAGTAATTAATAATGATAGCAATAAAATTCCCAAATTTCTTTTGAAAATTTAAGATATTATCAACAAACAACCATTGTGTTTACAATTTAAAATTTTTATTAATACATATTATTCTGTTTACAGGGGTGTATGTTAGTATTAAGTCTTACTTTAATGGGTTCACTAACCGCTTTTGGTGCTGTCGTTATTCGCCGAGGAGGATACTATTACAACGGAAATGGTTTGATGGCATGCGAACCTTTCTATCAAAGACCAAGTTTGCGTATACTGGCCGCTTGCCTATTTTACTTTCCAACTACAATGGCACTTATGTATTTTTATGGTTCAGCTTTACACGTGGATAGACTTAGGCATAGGCAGCAAATAAATATTTGTGCAATTCTAGTGCAACCTATGTTAACAAACAACATAGCTACAAAGGTATACAATTAAATAACTACATAATTTACTTTTAGAGGGACTTTAATATGCCAATTAATGTAGGCTGCTGAAGGTATTCTGTACATTTTGAAATCCAATATAACTCTCAGAAAAAATTAATTACAAGACCATTGATGTAGATTGAGCGTGCTCCAGTTTAATAGGATAAAACTTCAATCTTTTCATTTTTCTCAAAGCACTTGACTTATTTTCAATCGACTCATTACAAAGAACATAGACGATGTAATACAAATAAAACCAATTCAATTCACAGTTATATTCATTCATAACAGTGGGATGTGTTCAGCAGATGACTAAATAAATACAAATATATAGGATAATTTATTTATCACAACCCACGCAATAACTTATAGAATAAAAATAATTAAAAAAAAATTTTTTTTTTTGATACCTTTAGTTACATATTGTTGAATTATTAGCTATTTACTACTAAATTATTTAAAAACTATTTAAAACTATAATACTTTTTTAATTCATCCCTTAAGCCTCGTAAGAGTGTCAACTTTGTTTTTTCAAATGGGAACATATATTTTGAGTATAATAAAATGTTTGAAGTTTTATTTTAATAGTAAATGGAATTCGAATTTTTAATATAACTTCAATCATTTATTAGATATAAAACTTAAAAGTTTCAAATTTTTTTGTTTATACTATGTATAATATATGCGGATACGCAAAATTAATTGTCAGTTAGAACTATCGACTAATATGCTTAAAATATGGTAGTAAGGAACATTGTAATGAGTTTAAAAATATACCAACTGACAATATCGAAAACAAATCTATCGATTGTCGAATGACAATAAACGCTCCGTATCTGTGATAGCGATATCATAAAAAAACAATTTATTTAAAAATATTTTTTTATTTAATTATTTTTTAACATTTTGGTATTTTATAGAATTCCCTTAACGAAGCGTCCGAACAAGTAAGTTCCAATGAATTGAGACAAAGCATACGAACGACAAGAACCATGGGAGCTGTTGCATTGTGCTTTATCGTAGCTGTGACTCCTTGGACTATCCAAGAAGTTGTCACGGCTTGTACTGGTAGTAAGGTATTTTTAATAATTTAAAAAGTCTCCAAAAATTATGGACCTAAATTATTGACATGATCATCCGTAGATGCCTCCTGCTGTGGATTTCTTCATAACATGGATAGCAATGAGTAATAGTTTTTGGAATCCGTTTATTTATTGGTCACTCAATAGAAAATTTAGAGGAATCAGTCGCAGCATTATAAAGACAAAAGTCTTAAATATATTATTTATTTATTAGCCATTTATACTAAAAATTCTGTTTTTATAAATTATAGATATTTTGTCGAAAAAAATATAGTTCCAGTGTCATATCGTCTTCATGCAACCTAGGACATCAAGAGGGTTGTTGTGCTAATGGTGATATGTGCTTTATGACCCTACAAAAAGACAATGAGGTCATCATTGAAGAAGACAGAGAATCGACAGAGTCGCAGGATAGAGGTGGATTTCCTCCAACGCCTCCACCTCCACCACCTTATCACAGGGCCAACTCACAACATTGTCCAGCAAGAAAATTTTAAAAAGAAAGTTTTTCATCTTAGGATACAGTAAAAAAAATTGTAAATAAAAATGTAAAAAATCAATTTATAAAAACCTGTAATATACAAAAAAAATTAAAAAACAAAATTAATGTTAAAACTGTACTCAATAAACTAATATTTTAATAATGAAAATATCTACGTAGGAGATTATAAAATAACTGTGATTTTTTTATACGAGTACAATTTTTCTACTTCATTTATTAAACCTTAATTTAGACATATAACTCGAAAACATCTAGCATTTCCAAAGGTTTATAAAAATAAAATAAACACAATCAATCTTTGGATTATTCCAAAAGCCATATCAACTCATATTTCCTTAATTATAATCTGATTACTAGTTTTAAGTATTATAATTACAGTACATATTTTAGAAAATAAATTTAATATGAAAATGATATAATATATTGTTACAATATTTTTTCAAGTAATTTTCACAAAAAAATTTAATGGTTTATTAAGTAGTTGTATACTTCGTTATCTCTATAGCATACATAGTATTAAAAATGTTTTGATTATCAAAAAAAAAAAGAGAAAAAGTTAACTCTCTTATGAAAATATAATTCCCTGTTAAAAAAAGGTACTGTTTAGATTATGCATAGTTTATTCATGAAAATCAAATAGTGATTTATCTCACTATCGTAAATTTTGGAGATAATGGAATTAGAGATAATGGAGTTGAAGCCCCTCTATACGTCTGTTGTTACTTAGAAAAAAAATTGTACCCAAAAATTTTTATATCATTAAAATAATTTGAAATTTGCCGATTATAGACAAATTTTTTTTAATTGTCATATTATTTTTTTTTAATTTTTATTTGGTACAAGTTAGGAGGATACAGTTATTCTAGAACATTATCATAAATTAAAAAAAAAAATTTCTAAACATTTTAAAGTTCTATGACTTTGGTAGCAGATTATTTATAAAAAACAAGTTCTAGGATCATTTGTTTTTAACTTACAGTACATTGAATTAGTTTTATTTAAATATATAATAGAAATTGTTAGGAATGTTGGTACCATTTCAATAATTATATTGAAAACAATTTTCCTATCACGTGCATTTAATATCCATATTTATTCAATAATTAATTGGGTTTCTAGAAAAAGTATCTAGATAATAAGTTTATGATAAATTATAAATTATAATTATGAGCTCGTGATTTGATATGACCAGAAATTTAAGTATAAAATATTTATAATTGTTTTAAAATTGTATAAAACTAACATCTTACTGTAGAAAATTAACAATCTAACATAATATAATAAGTTACGAGTTTAGGATGTAAGAAATGATAGCAGAAAATTAACTTTTCGAGTAAAGCAGCACAACAAAGAATTATTATTGTTAAAAAAATAAAATAATAATATTGATTTATTGCTATTAGGATATATATTTTTGTGTCCAGACAGCATTTGCAATAAGTATCGTTTTTTATCTTTTGTTAAAATATTGTTGTAATCTTCTATTCATTTTACGATTTTTTCGTTTATTATTAAAAAGAATACAGTAAAATGTTTATTGTATTAAAAGTTATAACAGTTATCAGTTATATGTATTCCGTTCTGTATATATAATATATATTGTAACAACATAGTTACCTGAATAATTGACCAAATATTTGATGAGAATAATATAGTTACATGTATTTAGTTTAACAAGTAAATTGAATTCGTTATTTTTTAACGATTTATATATTTTTATTTTTCAAGGGAAATTTATTTTTAAAAAAGCTAAATATCAACAATCGAACTTTTACAAATAGAAACCAATAATAGTTTTAAAGTAATTTTTCTTTTAAACAACTATTTTTGAACATAATTATTATTTCATCATTAGTATAGATTTAATACTAATAACAATAATCTATTGTTATTAGACGAGGAAGTAAATATTTTAATGTTGCAGAATTTGACTAGATTTTTTTTATAAATCTTATTAATTAGAGGTGTGTGCAGTAGGTGTAAAGTATTTTAATAATTGTGTATGTGATAACCTCCACTAGTCAACCGGTCCGATATCTGTCATCCTATCGTCATCAGCTGACCGTACACTGTGCACCTATACCCATATTGTTGTATTTCCCCCCAATGGACGTGTCAAAGTTGGCACCACTACCACCACCCGGCGTGACAATCACCGGCCAAAATACAAATGCCGCGACAACGTAATATTATTTCTCAGCTACACTACCCAGGCGACAAGTCGTGTTTTCTATATAATTTTTATTGTGAAAACCACGTTTTTTTTGTCCTCCGTTTTTTTATTAAAATAAACGTCGAGTCGACCTGCCGTCTACTTGTGGTGTCAACCAGGCTGTAGTTTATTTTTTTTGTCCTCCGTTTTTTTTTTTAAATAAAACGTTGAGATACCAATGATGAAGATGATGTGAGGCACAACTATGGCCGGTGGTGGGTCGTCACTCCTCAAAACAACAACGACAAGTATCAACATGAAACCCCCTTTTACCCCATATTTAATTTTGTGTAACTGGCACCTCTCTTTTTCTTTTTCTTTATTTTTTTTCCTTTATGAATAACGATATTTATAAATCTTTAATAATTAAATCATTAAAAAAATGTTATTATATTATACATGGCCTCTTTTTTTTCTCTCTCTATACTTTTCCCTCATTTTTATTAATATTTGTTTTTTTTTTTTTATCAAAACCTAGTAGCTCCGTCAACAAGTACTATCTTGCTTGGCACGGCTACTAGGTCACTGTCCAGTGTTCCCCCTGGGCAGTGGATAATTAGTAGGCCCTCTGTTTTGGCTGAAACCTTACAATATTTATAAACATTTTGTAGAATTGTTGTATTATTAACTTTGTATTAGACTAAAAAAAAAACAAAACATTTTAGTATATGCGATGGAATGAATTGAATTGTCGGGGAGAGTACCCCGGGAGCACTGTGGATAATCTCATTTTTATGTAGTAAGATTTTGTTGAAATAATTCTCACAATAAGTCTTTATCGTCGTGTATTACTTTATTGTACTTTTAGTGTGTTCAAGTTTTATATGATTTATCTCGTTTTGATTATTACGATTATTCTATTATTATGATTATTATTCTAAGTAAAGGTTTGCGGATCGTGTGTCGTGCGCCCGATTTCCAACAAGCGGTTGTACGTTTCTTAGTGCCTAAGTGTATTGTTCCTGCTGAGTAGTCTCAGGCGACTTTCAGATCAGTCAGAAAATCATGGCCGAGTAATACGTCGCAATACAGGTCGTCTAAAATAACCGCTGAAAAACGCACTTTTAAATCCGCGATTTTGCGCGGTAAACGTGGCGGTGTGTCCGTCCGCTAGTCTAACCGCGTCCTTTATAAACAGTTCCGTATTTATAAGCAATTACCGGTTTTACATACGATTTATGCGCCTATGAGTCGTGTAAAGCTGTGACGAAGCCAATTTCGAATTCTAAATCGACTGCTGGAGTAGTAATTCTACGCGGGCATTTACATTACTCGGGTGGTTTACGGTTCGAACGGGAGGCAGCTGGTTCTTAACCGCGACGCCGGTTTGCCCACTGACGGTGTTAACTGCCATTAGTGGACTAGCTGGGTCGACTGATACCCCCTCCTCCACTGTGCCCGAAAAAATTTCGAACACCTGACTTGCGCTATGTTCGGTCGTGTCGGCAATGTCTTCGAATTCCGATACCCTGATTACATCCGAATTTACCGCGGCATACCCTCCATCCCAATAAGAGGGGTGTAGTGCCGAAAAAGTGCCAAGATCGTTGGCGGTATGTAACTCGTAAGGGCCGGTTAGATTCGGTGTTCTGCGCGACGGTCGTGATGCGTGATACGTGTTACCGGATAAAAATTGCGTAGCGGCAGGGCGCGTTTTAACTGAAACGTCGTTTAAAACGCTGCGCCCTGTTTGGATCTGTTGTAGGCTGGGGGGCGGACTAATTCCCTCCTAGCAGATTGCCGTTTCCCGATACCGACGGTCTATTTGGGCATTGGCGATGTCAGTGTCGCTCGCTGCCATAACCGCGTTTGCATAACCCGCTCGCTGTCGGGCCGCTGGTTGAGCAGTATGCCGCGGAGGCAGTTCGGCTGGCTGTCGGGTCGTTGGTGGAGCGTACCGAGGAGCTTATCTACGTTGTGCGCTATCTCACGTAGATCGGCGAAAGACGCTGGGTGCATTAACCGTATCGTAGCGCAGTAATCGTCCCGTAAAAGTGAACTGCGTTAACTGTCGCAAAAGTGGTTCTGGTAACCCACAACGTACTCGCGCGGCCAAACATTGTTTATGAACAATAAACTCGGTTAACGCTTGTCGGGGGCCCTGTCGCGTCGTTTTTAAGTCCGGTTTGAGCGCAGGATATCGATATTGTCGAACTCCTCGAGTAATTCGGACATAAATTCCGTCCATGGCATAATTTTTAATTTTATGGCTCGCCACCAATCACCTGCCCTGTCGTTCAAAAACGGGACGACGATATTCACTCACGCCGTTGGGTGTATACCGCCCTGACAGAGTAGATCCTCCGCTCTGTCTAGAAACTCCCGTGAGTCCTCTTCGTTTCTCCCGTAATACTCAGGTAAGCAGGCGCATAGGTCGTGGTAGGGTACCAATACCGACCGCGAGCTGCGGGTAGGCGACAAATCATTAAAGGACTTCGCTTAATCCGGACAGCTGTCTAGTATTACGAAAAATACGCAGTTTATGCCGTAGACTAAAATAAACATAAAAGCAAGTTCCTCGAATTTCCCATAAGTACATATATTCTTATCTACCGTCATTAAAGTTATCATAAACTAATATCATGTTGCAATACATATATATTGTATATCATACATAGTAATTAGTATAATATAATATTCTTAAATCTATAATACGGACATGTTTTTTGGTTATTTTGTTTAATCCGGACTTTCATTAAATCAGACAACCTAGAGCCCTTATTGGTTCGGATTAATGAGGTTCTACTGTAGTTAGAAATAAAACTGAATCGGCTCAAAGCCTCTTACCTTAACTTCTCTCGGCCGGTTTAGATTTCGTACTAGGTCTAGTTTTCTTAAATAATACATTCATTTCAGGATTTGATTCTAAATCACGTGTCAACTTTCTTTTTCTCACAACTGCTTCATTATTTTTAATACCACCAAACAATAAATCCTATAAGTTATACATGTATTAAATCTATGATTATTGAAATAATAAATTGTTTTATAATAATTACATTCTTGCGAGGAGTATCTGAAGAATATTTTGTAGTTTTTCTTTTAACAATAATTGATGACTGGCTAATAATATGTCCTTCTGTTAATGTACTGAATCCAAGTAGAAGTGAATCTGGAGACTAGAAATAAAATAAAATTAGGAAAAAAACTGTTAACCTTTTTAAAAGGTAAAATAATTACCGATCCTGTTGGGGATACAGCAATGTCTAAGAATTCATCATCTGAATCATCTGTACATGATGTATTGCTCTCAGATAATGTTGACACTGATCTAGAATCATCTGAATGAGCAGTAAGAGAACCACTGTCCTGTGAATTAGGATCATGATCTTCAAGTGGATATGATCGTCTTACACGGCGTTTGTATTTTGCAAACTAAAAACCATAAATTACAATATTTATTTTCATTAATATTGAATTTCTAGAAAATTATTAAATTTAATAGTAAATTTGATATCTAACATTGATCGTTCTTTTTAACTATAGCTATTTAACAATACATAATTAACAGTTTAGAGATGAATAAAAAATTTAATTAAATTTACTGTAATAAATAAACAGACTAAAGTTAATGATTTAATTTATGCTGGGATTAATTAATGTTAATATATTATTAATACAAACTTCACAGTTTAAGAATGCACAACAGTATGGAATCTTGCTTGACATAATTATTGTACAAATAATATACAATGTATAACTAATACAAATTTGTATAATTATATTATTTAAAATATCTTTTTAATTTTTGTGTTTACATAAAATAATATATTTTTAAGGATTTAAAAAATTATTTTATGATTTAGTTTAAATAAATATTTGTTTATTTAAGGTATTAATAATAAAAATATCTATACAATTTAATTGTTATTAGCCAATATTGATATATTAGCCAAGGTTAAATTAAAATAGTTACATGCGTTTATTGTATATCTTACTTTAGACATCATGTATGGTTGTAGTNATTGTATATCTTACTTTAGACATCACTACAACCATACATTTTGATGAATTTTCTTTTTCGATTAGACTGTTCATAATTTTTATAACACATTTCAATGGGCTATCGTTTATAGTTTTTGAGTTTCTCTTGATTAATNGGCTATCGTTTATAGTTTTTGAGTTTCCCTTGATTAATCTATAAATAAAAAATAATTTGTCTCTCTCTAACTCCCTCTACATTCTATTTTCGTAAACCCCTCAAAATATGAGTCACCTGGAAGAATTTTCCGTTTTCTGCGCTTTAAATTTCGCGTTCTTCGACTGCAGTCTCGAAACTGGTACTGTTCAACAAATAATTTTTGTTTCACATCTTTTGCGACCTCGATGAGAATTTTTCGGCACCCTAATTTTTTTTTAATTTTTAATATTGTAAATATTCATTAAGTAATATATTGAAATAGAATATAAACACATATAATGATCAGTATTAAATTTTAATTTGAAAACAACAATAATTTATGAATAATTAACCCAACCCGTATTACTGTAGTATTAATGTTAGTACGATTTAGTTAGTTAATTAGTAAGTGTACAACTAATAGACTGGACAAGCAATTTTCAATAATGTTTGATCTGATGTTATATAAAGTGTCACATAAATATAAAATTGTGAATGATTATTATAACATTATTCATTTAATAATGACTGTAAATTCTAGAACTTAAATTATATTATTGTAATTATTCGTAAAAGTTAAGTGTACAGTCCACTCCAACACGTCGCCGTGTCTCATCCTAAGTAGGAACCCAATACAAATATAGGTTATAATGTTACAAAGATTTTAATATTTGTATTAAAAAAGCCCTTGAAAATGGCTTTGAAATGAATATTAAAATTATTTTTTACTTCTTTTTCTTGTAAAAATTTATTAACTTTATTAATATTGTAGTAAATTACAAAAAAAATAAGCTTGTTTTACCATTTTAACAATCAACGTTTTTTTAATTATTTTAAATATATAAGGATTTAAAAGTTATTTAATTGTCTTACCTTTTTTCATTTCAATTGTTGGATTTAAGTTTGAGTTAGAAATACAAATATGAATTAAATCGAGCGATCTTGGTAAATGTTTTAATGACAAAGTGTTAAACATATGACTTAATTTGATTATTCCTGATGTTGGATCTATTATTCCCTATTAATAAAAATGTACTTTATGCATAATTTAAATCATTTTGTTTAAAATATATGTTAAAAACAATTTTTTTCACACACCCCGGCCAGGACAGCAGTTTTTTTAAATAATGTTAAAGGTTATTTTAATGGTGATCATTTACTCAACAGGTTATTCGTATCTAATCAAATCAAAAGTCAAATCAGAAGATTGTTTTAAATTTGTTTTTGTTAAATGTTTTAGCTCAGATGCGAAGCTGAGAAGGTATTTTAAATCTATTATTATTAGGTATATTTGTTTTTTTAATATTTTGCCTCTTACTCAGAGGCGAATGTGCTTTAAGATTACTGGTAATTTTGTTTTAGAGTATATTTTTGAAGTCGAGCCCTAAATACGTCTGTTACCACTTATTAAAAAAATTGCAATTACACACTTTTAGANCTGTCCTGTGAATTAGGATCATGATCTTCAAGTGCATATCGTCGTCTTACACGGCGTTTGTATTTTGCAAACTAAAAACCATAAATTACAACACNATTACACACTTTTAGATGGATGAGTTACTTCGATTATTTCTATTTATTCTTAAATAGATTATTTATTAATTCGATTATTCTAACCTTCGTTAGCTAATTAATATTTCAGTATTAAAATTGAAATTTTAATTTATAATAAGCCTAGAACATTTCCAAAACAGTTTCATTTTGGTAGCTAGAACATTTTTTGGTATGAATTTATTTTTTCTTCAATAAAAGAGTTAAGTGAATATAAGTTGACAAAATCTCATTAACTTAACGAGTTAAGTTAATGTAGGTGCTTTATAGTTTTTCAAATGAAAATGTTACAAAAATGACGAAAAGGAACAAAAAAATCCCCTTACAATGACTTAAAAATAGTTACAGATTTTTTTTTTTTAATTCATCCCTTATAAGGATGTCAACATAATTATTTTTTTAATAACATATTTAACTAGCTAATAAAATAAAAAGTTATCTAATTATATATTAATATTATATATTGATTTATTCCTAAATCAATAGTATTTAAGTTCATTATCAAATATTTCCAATTAACTTTAAATTAAATTTATATAAACCTTTAACATTTTATTTAAATTATTAAAAACATCATTTTAAACATTATTAAAAAAAACATTTTTTTTTTATTAAAACTATTATTTTGCTTCAAATGAAAAAAATTGTTTTTCTTTTAAACTCTTTTCAGACAATCATAAATTAGTAAATAAATGTAATTACATATAAAAAAAACCCAAGCCAGCTCATTAGAGACGCACAATAATTTTCAGATTTTCATAAAATATATACCCTAAGAAAATATACCTAAGGTATTTTAAAAAAAATAAAATAACTAATAACAATGAGGTATATATATTAAGAAAATCTTACAACCATCTATTCCATATCACCACTGTGCTGGATTGGATTTTTATGTGTAATTACTAGTGATGTGCATTTTCGAATATTTTATTCGAATAACTATTCGAATTGTTTTTATACAACCGAATAAATTATTTTTAGCATAAACTATCAAATAGTTTTAAAAACTATTCGAATGGGCTACCTAATAATTTTAAAAAATATTCAATTAGTTCTACCTATAATTTTTATTAAGTACACTTAATTATAATAAGATAATTAACGAATACTTAAAATATTAAGTATTATTATACAATTAATAATAGTAAAAATTAGTGTGGGTATTTTCTAATATATTAAACTATCAATTAATTATTCGTATTGTGTTTATACAACCGAATAGTTTATTTTTAGCACAAACTATCGAATAATTTTTAAAATTATTCAAATATTTTGTGTAACTGTCGAATATTTTTTGAATGATTATCGAATAATTCGAATAGTTACTATTCAATATTTCCCATCACTAGTAATTACTCGTTTTTCATTAATTGATTATTTCAAAAATTAAAGGTGATAAAAAAATTGCATCGCAGGTTTGAAATCAACAAAAGAAAAATAATAAATAATTTCGTCAAAATTTATCGATTTTTAAACTAAAAATTAAAATTCGTAATATTTTTAGGGATTTCTTTCATTCACAAAAAAACAAAGAATGTTTTCTTATTTTGAGGATGTCTTTAACTAGATACGATCTGTGTTCTTTAAATGTATCTGAAAGAAATCGGTCTAGTGAGAGCTAAATTAGTGTCAGACACAAAAAAATCTCAGCATAGTAAAATTTATACCTTCTCAGCTTTTAATCGAAGCTAAAACTTTAGTGTATACACTATATACATATTTTTACAGGGTAAACCAATTTATTTTACATCGTGTAATATAAAACACACAAGATGGTAATATCTTTTAGTATTTTACTTGATAGTCAATATACTCTGTACATTATACAAATAACCACAAGTTCAAATTCAAAAGAGGGTTTTCGTAAGTCTTAACGTTTTATAGGTAGTAAAAACTTAGGTGAAAACGCCTAAATATTTGAATATAGATAAAAATATAATTAATTAATTACATCAAAGTATATTTCACACTTACTTTTTATGTAATTACTCTGTACAAATTAGCTCAGCATTTTTTTATGAATACTTATTTATTCTATATAAGTCTGTTATAACATAATTCACGACTTCCTATTGTATTGTGTGAAAGCAAATAAACTGATTATAACGCAGTAATAACTTAACACACACAGTCGCATAAACCTCATAATTTATTAAGAGTGAATTACTCGAAAAACTTTTCAAGCCACTTCTAGCTGATTAATTGATTTTAGTAGTATTTCATCATTGCTAACATGTTTGTGCGTTTAATTTGTTAACTCTGAACACATAAATAAATTAAAGTATGAATATCTATACTAGTGAGTTTAAAATAATACCAACCATTTAAAAAAACTAAAATTAATAAGCATAATTTAGTTTAATTTATTTAGGTTAGTAAGGTAAGTCATTTAGGTAAGTTTCAATAAATATTAATCAATTAATATTTTAACTTTGACATTAACTAAAAACATGAGATTAAAATTAACTGATTGCCGCCCATCATTTACCAGTGATTTTTAAACAATAAAATTCTAATAAAGGAGTTAATTAATGTTAATTCGAATAATGATTTGTTTTCAATACATCAAGTTTGAAGATCAAAATATTTTTTATTGTAAAAATATAACATTAGAAATTACTCTTCTCTCTAAACCAGCACCAATTGTTTTTATTGATATCAAATAGAAAATATTCTTCGAAATAGAATATTTTGTTTAACTAGTTAATGTAATTTTTATTAATAACAGTACCTGCTATAAAAGCTGTAAGTAATTAAACAAAGATAAAAAAAGATTATAGGTAGTAATTTCCAAAATATATGCTAATATTTAAGAGTGATCGTATAACTTAATTTTACTTGAAACACGCATAACTATTTTGACTCCAGATACTTTAATGTAGTATAAATGTAGCATTCAAACAATAAGTTAATATATTATTATTATTTTTTAACACTTCGCATACGAAGGTAACAATACAATATAGTATACAGTAAAAAATGATCCGAAAATTTCCATGCATCAATATATTTTTTAAATATGATAAATTTACACACTAATTATGTAAGTTTGACATAATCGAAAATTCGTACACAAATATAACATTTTGATCACTGTCAAAATTTATCCTTACATTATATGTGTATAAAACTTACAGTAGTAGTATGTGAAAATTCAAACATTTTTTTAAGAGTGTAGGTTAATTTATCACAAATTGATGACAAAACGCAACTAAATGAAGAGTTTTTTTTTGAAACAAATGAAATATAAATAAAAAATAAACAAATTTTTACTTAGAAAAATAAAAATAGTAATTTATTATAATAAGGAAACAATCAATTAAATTAAATTAATACTTTCATTGAAGTTTAAAATCAATAACTCAAGTATCAAATGTTACTTTAGTTAGCTCATCATAAACTTATTTTTACTAATACTATGTCATTACAATTATTTTAATTAATTTCTAATGTCATAATACTTTTATCTAATTATGTAGTTAAAAATTGGAACATTTACCATAAAATAACATATTTATTGTAAATTAATACACATTATAAATATTTTTACTGCAATATGAAAATAATCTTAGAACTGTTTTGCTTTTCTATAATCTTCAAATTCCATGGATATATTACACATACAATAAAAAATAATGATAATAATCGAGTTTTGAATCCAAGTATCTAAAAATGAAAATGTAGTAAATATAACAAGTTTTGATGAATAAAATAATAAAAAAAAACCAATCTTACTTTGTAAAAATATTACTTCAAAAAAACTCATTCCTGCATCTATGCCACCGAAAAAGAAAAAATTAGAAATTGCTGACATCATAGTTAAAGGACTTGTTAACAGAGCTAATAATCGCTTTTCGTTACGTCTTTGAAGATTACCCTTTAAAAATGTATTAAGATTATTAGTTATAAAACTTGATAACAAAAAATTATTCAGTATTGTTGCAAATAAAACTTGTAAATAAAATATAATGATAACTGTAATTATTATAAATATTTATTATTACAAGAATTTATAAGACCACAAAATAATATAAAAATATCAAAATGAAAGTTTGATTATTTAATATCTTATTTGAAGTAATTTCAAATATAATACATACAAAATTCATAACATAAAAATTAGAAATACGATAAAACACATATAATTTTCTAACAATTTATTCATCATAAATAAAATAAGATACATATTAATTATCAGGACTAATATAATTTATTACTTTAACGTATTTAATGTAAACTTGTGTTTTTCCAATGTACTTCGCTAATGTTTCAATAGTTATTCCTATGTAATTAAATGTAGTCCATAGAAATACTTCCCATGATAAACCGTGCCAAATAAACACAAATGCAAAGCATAAAAATGATCTGTATATTTTCGTTAAAAGTCCTACATTTCCAGAAATATCTCCTGATGGTATGTATATATAACTAAAAATTACAAAAATTTTACTTTAAAAATTAATACTATTTAAGTAATTTTTGCATATATAAATAATATTATAAACAAATGTTAACTTTATACATTTAATGAGTAAAAAGAAGTATTAAAAAAAATTATTTAAATAATTACTTAAAGAACTCTATAAAGTTGACACATTAGACATTAAGTATACCATAAAAAAATAAACATACAAATTAAAAAGGAAAACAAATTTCGCTTCTACATTTTATTTTGCCATAAAGTAGTATAAAACTATTCTATAGTGATTAATGACAATTTTTACAAAAATCTCTTGTCGGAAGTTCTATATTTACATTAACCCATCAACGCCGAGAATTATTTTTTTTCAAACTTTCTATTTTTTTTACTAAAAACAGATTAATATACAACACAAAAATAAAAAAAAATTATTTTTAAATTTTTTGAAAATACGATTTCTGAGATATTGAGTGTCACCATATGGGTACACTCGGCTTTTACCTATTAAATTATTATTCTAAGAACGCGCGATAAAAATAGCAATACGAATGTCACCATATGGGGACGCCAGGCGTTGATGGGTTAATGGTACTTTTATGGCTTAAAATTGTATTTCCTTTTACATATTAGTCCAAAAACCAGAAAAATTAACAATTTTGAGTAACTATTCTTTCCGATAAGCGAAATTTATGTTTGTTAACAAACGACAAGTATTATGAAATTAATTATTTCATATGAAATAAAATATGTTTATTAATAAAACTTTATAAAATATAGAAAAAACTTGTTTTATAAAAAATCTCTCCATCCCAATAAGTAGTTTATTGAAAAATTGAAATATATTGAGTGAATTTGTGAAACTTTACTTTAACCGAGAAAATAATTTCTCGTTAAATGCTAAAAGCGCTAAACCACAATTAGATGTAACCATAGAACAAGTACAGTTTAACTCAAACTTGGATTACTCAACATCGTCAATACTTCAAACATTTTCTTTAGTTCCACTAATTTATTACAAATTATTCAAATTTTTAAATTATTTATACAATATAATGACTTGTGAAATTCTAACTTAATGAATGAAAAAAAAATTAGCAAATTTAGGATGAATCATGTATATTTTGCTTTTACAGTCTCATCGTACCTAGCAACTGCAAAAAAATCAATAGCACCCTCCCCAATAATATTTCATTGTGTATAAGGTTATATTTTAAATAGTGGAAAATTACATTTAACACCCCAAAAATGTATAACTATTTGCGCTTATGTCTTTAAAAAAATCATAACACGCAACAGCCTATACATTTTAATTAAAAATAATTATTCAATGCAATTTGTATGAATATGTAATAAATATGATTGTTATGCAGAATTAAAACCTAACGAGTAATTAATTTTTATCATCATTGATTATCATTTCATTTTATTATAATCAAAAATACTTGTGATAAAATTTATAATCAATATAATTATATAACACGAAAATACGAGTATGTCATGTATTCATAACAAACACACAAATACAAATCTCCATTTAACAATTAATTTAAAGTGCTAACAATTTTTAAACTAGTTAATCTAGTATAGTTTTCATTTTCAGGTCTAAGAACAATTTATTATTTTATATGAAATAATGACATTATTAATTTTTTCGGCTATTTTACTACTTATATTGCAATTATCATGCTGCAATAAGGGACCAATTGTAGGGATTTTAACTCAAGAAATTCAGTGGTCGTGTTTAATAAACACTCATCCTGACCTACCAGAAAACACAACATACATAGCATCATCGTACGTGAAAGCGGTCGAGGCTTCAGGTGGTCGAGTGATTCCAGTTTTTACGAATAAAACTTTTGAATATTATTTGTGAGTATGTAATATTTAAAAATATATTTACTTTTGATCTGATTTTTAAACGACAATTTATTCAATAATATGTTAATTTAGTACTATATCTTTTTTATTATATCAAAAGATTTTAAAGCACTTTATACTTGTGGACTTGGCCTAGTGGGTAGAAACGTATGTTTCGGTGCACGGGATCTGGGTTCGATCACCAAGGTGTCAATGATATTTTTCTTGTGATTTTCTCATTGATGGTGCCTGGTCTCTGGTGCAAGCCAGCCATAATACCTGTCCCGTCCATCATTGGCCAAGAACCATCTTTGACTCCCTAACATGTGAAAGAGGGTCATCACTCTCTGTGGCATGTTGAGTTCAGTAAATATAAGGATGTAAAACTGATCATCATCAACAATGTTTAAAATATTGTAGTATAATTAACACAAGATATTTATAGATATCTTATGATTATAGTCCAAAAACTTTCCATCATTTGACATAATAACTTTCGTTATTAATTTTCTGACCTAAAATTATACTTAAATTAAGTTTAAAAGTATAAAAAGAGTAATTTTTCTCTACTTCTTAGATATTTTATAACAAATTTAAAAACATTTCAGAGATATTGTTAAGAAGGTCAATGGAATTTTAATACCTGGTGGAAGTTGTTCATTTGATACTAACTCTGGAATAACTCAATCTGTATGTATGATTTACAAAATTGCAAAAAAAGTAGGTATATTTTCAATTTTTTATAGATATATAGATATTAGCATTTTTATACTATGGTGCGATGAGTAGTGCGATTTATAAACGCCTAGATATAAAAACCCAGCGCAGTGGCATTGCGGCACAGTGGGGAAGTGGTATAGTTGGGTCCAGTATAGATTTAATCTAACAGTGATTAAATTTACTACCATAAAAAACGTTTCGATGCAAATAATATATCGATGTAGTGCATACGGTAGCCATTTTCACATTAAAAACAAAATAAAGTCCGAAATCTTCTTTTTCTATAATAAAGTATATTACATTAACTTGAATTTAAGATATATAAAAAAGTATCAGTATTTCCGGAACATTTTCAAAAGTTAAATTAAAAAAGTTATCATTTTGAATCCCCCGCTATGGGCAGATAAAGGGTCAGATTTACAAAAAATATATACCAAATGATAGATATCTATAAAAAAAAATTGTATTAATCCAAACATTTTTCAAAAAGTTATAGCAGTTTTAAGTAAAAAAAATTGAAAAAATATCAAAAGTTACCGATTTTTAATTTTTTTCAATTTTCGAGGGTAATGTCTTCGACTAGATACGATTTGCAATCTTTTACGTATCGTTAAAAGAAATCGGTTCGGTGAAAGCTGAGAAAAATTGGTAACAGACACAAAAAAAAACACGTCATAGTAAAATTAATACTTTCTCAGCTTCGCATCGAAGCTAAAAATATACAGACGCGAGCTTTACATCTTCTAAAGTTTTCATAACTACCAAAATACTAGTTTATAAGTTTTTTGAATGATCACTTTTTTAGACCATTTCTTTATTATTAAACTAATTAAACATAAAAACGTTTATTTTCAAAACTTAAGTTAATACTATATTAAAAGGGAAAAAGGTAGGATAGGAAAAATTGTGTTTTTTTTTTCAAATTATTTAACATAAGATACTATTCACTTCTGGAAAGAAAACACTTAAATGTTTTATACTATTAAAGATATAGTATTAAGCATAGTTAATCAATCACCTTATATACTTTTAGTAAGAGAATTAGCAATAATGGATAAGCTATACCCGATCTAAATTCCAAAGCTCATTAAAACAACTAGAAAAGTCCTTTTTTGTTAATTTATTTTATATTAACATAAGTTTTATAAATAATTTAGCACAATATTGATTTTTATCATATGTTTATTTGAATATATTTAACAAAGAAAAAGTTTTTCGGTAAAATAGGTCTTCCAATAACGGTTAAATATTATTTGGTTATCAAACTGAACTCCTCAGTTGATGTATAAATAAAGAATATCAAAAAAATTAAATTTATGGAATTTTGAAAATTTATCAACTAATATTTTGTTTACAGATAAATGATATGCATGATCACTTTCCTATATTTGGAATATGCTTAGGATTTGAACTATTATTATTATGTTCGAATCATGGTAAAACCCCTTTAGTAATGTGTAATTGTGAAGGCATGAATATGCCATTAGAATTAATCCCTGGTATGGAAAAGAAAAGTGTTTTATTTAAAAAAATGCCTTATGATATTAAAAATATTCTATTGAATAAACCAGTGACAGCAAATCATCATCAGTAAGTAAATAAATTTATTCATGTAAATTTAAAATATTGTAATATTATTTTTTGACATTAAGTATTCTTTATATAACTTAGGACTAACTGATTTTTATGTTACTTCTCTATAATTATAGCTTTTGTATAACAAGACCGGTCATGTCATCTACAGGTTTAAACAAATTTTGGAATACAATAACAATAAATAGAGATATAAACGACATGGAATTTATTTCTTCAATTGAAGCAAAAAACTATCCATTTGTAGGGTTACAATTTCACCCAGAAAAAAATGCCTATGAATGGGAAAGAAATGACCCCCACGACTGGGATGCTATTTACTCAGCAAGATTCTTTTATGATTGGTTTCTTAATGAATGTCGTCAAAATAAACACAAATATATCAATGAAGAAGAATTGAAAGCTGAAATCATATATAATTACCCTGAAACACATGTAGGAAATGATACTTATGCCATGTTTGAACAAGTATATTTTTTTGTTTGACAAAAAATAAAATGATGTATATAAATATTAACAATAATTTGTTAAGAATTGAAACAAAAATTAAATAAATATATAAAAAATTAACTAATTTTGATTAATTAAAATACATATAACTACATTTATACTTACGTCTTTAAGAATTTGTAAAGACCCTCATCAAAACTTCTCCACATATCAGAATATAAATGAATCCTTGAAATACATTTTGGAGGTTTAGGAGGTTCAATATATTCATCAAATTCAGCAATTGCAATTGCTAAACCATATACAACTGTATACTTAATAAAAAAAAATTGTCCCATAGTAAAACCAAATCCACTAAGTGCAATTATTCCAAATTTTTTCAATACCTAAAATAAAAAAAAATACTGATATTTTAATTTTTACAATATATAAGTGGTGTATTTAAAATGTTAACTATAAATTATAATAAATATGATGCTACATGTGCCCTAGGTGGCTGAAACGAAAAAGTTTTTCCGGGCTGATAAAAAAATGTATATATACCTAAGGATTGTTTAGGGCCTACTTAGTCAAAAAATTCTTAACCTTAAATTGAATACATTCCTATTTGCGAGAACTACTTCATTTTAAAGGTAATTCGGATATTAGATGGGAATATTTTTTTCATTTGTTTAAAATTTTGAAAATTATTGTATATTTATTTGAAATATTGTAAAAGTTCAAAAAATACTCCTTTAAACATTATTTCAAAAACTTAGGAGCTTCTAGACTTAAGATATTATTGTAGTCAGTTGTGCCAAACTATCTTTAACAAACACATTGGTTTTTGTATTATTCATTTATTTAAATATTAAATTGTTAATATTATTTATTTAGTACAAAACCATTTTAAATCTTAATTGATAAATCGAAATATGGGTACCATTGATGTCTAGATGGCACCATTTCCATATTATACTTAATATTATAAAAATCAAAAAAAGGAAAAACTGTTATATTCATGTTGTTGCCTGTTCATTTTATATATATATATATATTTAACATCCATTTAAGGTTATACACAATGAATTTTAAAATGCTTGACACTAGATTTTTCTTAAAATAACAATTATGCTAAGAAAATTATTTTTTGCATATTTTAGTTTCATATATTTTTTTATTTAATAGTATTAGTTATTTTTTTAAATCATCCCCTTATACGTTACAAGGGTGATAACTTTAATTTTTTTTTAAGACAATATATATATTTAACTAGGTTATAAAAAAAAGAATGACTGTTTAATAACACATTTTAATATATTTATTTATCACAATTTTAAAATTTAGACTGGAGGTGAGATGTAGGATAATATTTATAATTAGATATTTTTCAGTCGTATCTCGAAAGTAAAACTTTATAACTAAGTAGGTCCTAAACAATCTTCAGTTACATATAAATTTTTTATGTCAGCTCAAAATACCTAATGTTAAATAAAAAATTAAAGGAATTTTTTTTAATGATTCAATGAAAATAATACATCAATAAAGTATTCATTGATATAAATTTGACATTAGTTAACCTTGCAAGAGAATAAAACATCTTGATATGTCATACAGTTTAAATTAGTTTATATATTATGCATTAGGTTTTAATAAAATAATATAGTTTATATACAAGTTAATTGATTTTGGGTAAGACGCTCATTTTTTAAGAAACTATTGAAAAATTTTGAATTTTCTAAAAAAAAAAAATTAATTGGTTTAAAAATAACAATAATATGAAGTTAAATATTTTTTTTTTTTAATCTTTTTTGCAATAAAAACATTAATCTTCTTAAATGGGAATCCCTATTTTGAACTTGCTAATATGATAGTGAAAAAATTATAAACAAATTTGTACCTATATTTTTTTTATTCTATCAACTGAATTATCAGCCTTAAAAACATCCTTACCCTCGCTAGAAAATTATTTATAATTAATAGATCTCATGTAAAGTGCTATTTTAAAATAACAATTAATCAATTTATTTAACTTAATAGTACGAGAATAGAGCACAATTAGTTATTACTATATCTTTCCTTTAAGAAACAGAACATACTACAAAATTTCTAAAGAATAACATTTTTTTGCACTTTAAAAATTATTACTTTCTCACAATTGTTCTGAAAAGGAAACTAAATAATTTTTTACATTCTATTCATTCAAGACTGGAACGAAATAAAACATTAAAACACTAAAATGGGTAATATATACAAACCTTGATTTTAGACATGAATTATTAAAGATAAGATTTATATATGTTGGATAATACTTAAGTCAATAGAACTAGTTTTAATCGTTTTTCCTTATAAAAATTTTAAATTATTAATAGTTTTTGAAAAAATGAGGGTCTCATAAAAAACAATCATTCTGTATATAAATATTTTTTATGAGTTGTAGAAAATATATATATATCAAATTATCTATATGATTTTGTCAAAATATAAATCAGAATAATAACTTCATAAAAGATATAATAATAGTTCAATACTACTTACGCATAATAATAAGTAAATGTATAATTTAATGTAATATTAAAAATAATTTGATTACTTTGATATTTTGTAGAAAAACGTTAATATAAATAAAGTGCAAAACAAATTCAACAACGAGCATCCAAAATAAACATCTCATTACTTTTATTATCAATGTTACTGAACGTTTTTTGAAAGTCTTTACATGGTCATTATTCTTAGATGCAGGCTAAACACAAAACACTTTTAAAATAAATTTATCAATATTTAGAAAATTTATGCAACTTATTACAATTAACTTTTCATAAATCATAATTGGTCCAAAAAAAAAACATGGCAAGTAAAATGAATATGCCAAAAAATGAGTGTAATTAGACTCAGTTTTGTTAGATAAATTTATAAAACTTAATACAAAACTTAAACAGCGCAGATTATGCCAGTAAACCGTTAATAATAGTAAGTATGACATTTCTTCATTTAAATTTGGATCAAAATACTCCTAAAAATAATTTAAATATATTATTAAATATATATGCTGAATATTAAACAAATAAGGCTACTGGTGTAACAAAAACTTAGTGTACCTAGTAACTACTCAAAGGGGAAAATTCAACCCTAAAATAATAAGAAGAAATTTTAACTATTAATTAAGAACTTTTTCAGTAAACATGGAGAAAAATATATTTAGAAAAATCCAATTAAAAATTGTTGTACAAAAAAAAACAGTCAACAAATTATTTCATAACTCTTTCAAGACAAATTCCAAAATTTACCTATATTCTTTAATGAAAATCAATGTTTAATAAAAAAAAATAATTTCAATCTGTTAAATTAAGTATAATAATTATTGTAAATTTACAGCAGTTGCAAATATAAATGTTATTTATATTTGGCCATAACAACTATAACACCCCAAAATTAAAATTATTTTTTCTAAAAGATCCTTTTTTTTAATTGCTTATACTTTAAAAGAGATAATGAAATGTCCACCCCCAAAACCAAGTTGGTATATACTTCATAACAATAAAATTATTTTGTTGAAAAGAATTATGAAGTTCTTAGTGTAAAATTGAGTAAAATAAAATACTTAATTTAAGAAATTTACCCCTAGTCATTAGATCATATTTTTTTAAATATTTAATAATCATTTTTATGATAATCTTACTTACAAATAAGTAATCATTATTACACCAAAATCCTAAAAGAAGTATACTTGTAGTCCATATTATTAATTTATTGTTGGTAAACATTAAAAAGTAATAAATTAAAGTCATACCAGCACATAAAAGAACTGGTAATAGTCCAAAATTTGTGTGTAAGCAAAGGATTGTCACTATTATCAACCAATATTCTTGTAATTTAATTACCTACAAATAATTGAAAATTTTAATTAGAATATAAATAAATATTACTCATTAAACTTATAACTCATTAAATGACTTAACATAGAAAATTAATAGTTAATAAATGGTAAATTTTAATCACATTTATTTATCTAGATAATCTCACAAAGAAAATAGGAAAAAAATTGATCAATATTGAGATAAAGAATGAACATGTATTAATTCCAACTTTTTAAGGAATGAAAATACAATATAAAAATTAAAATTGTTCTATCTATACCAGATCACTAATGAATATAACTTATTGATTGTTGTGTAAAATAAAACTCTTCTATCTTACTAGTCTTATTAAGAGTCTTATATGGTGATGTGAAAGGATGAAATATTTCCGATATTAACCAATGTACTAATTAAAAAAAACCATCTCAGCTTACCATTTGACCGAGTTGCAATCTCTTATGTCACATTGTATAATATCATAGTAACTATTTTCTATTATATTTTAAGTTTATAAAAATTTTAATATAAAACAGACTGATTAAAAAAAAACTATTGTTTTCAAGGAATAATATTTTGTAGGAAAAAAATCACCCTAAAAATCTATCTTTCTCTTTTACAATGACACTTATTTATCATAAGAATTAAGCCCAGTGTGGACAAACGAGTACAACGTAAAAATAATTTATAATATACGTACAAAAAAAAATAAAATTTTCCTTACATAATACATGATTAAAATCATACACGATAAAATAAAATATGTGATGAAAATCAATTTACATTTAAGCAAGCTTTTAACCTGGCTAAACTAATGTGGCAAAAATAAATGTTATGCAACATGCAGAATTCATTACTTTCATTTATAAGGTGATTTACCAGAGCATTAATACTATAATTTTGGTGATTTAATGGAACACAAAATGTAGGAGAACTGAAGGAACATTGAAAAGAATTCTAGAAAAGAGTTCAGGACAATCCACTAAGCTATTAATCAATTCATAGATCCATAAAATATCAACAGCCATTCAGCAATCAATATGGCTTTTTAAATTGCAATGTTGAAGATGCAATATTGCTCAAGTCTGTATCACTCTGTAATTTTAGAAATCACTTTGAGTCTTAATTTTAAGATATAACTTTACATCATCTGCGAATAATAAACAAATGGAAAACTGAATTACATTACTAAAATCATTTATGAAAATAATGAACAGTAGAGGGGATAAGTAACTCCATTGTGAAACACAACATGAAACATCAATCATCGGCAACAAAGAATCACCAATTTTACTTATTGTACTCTACCAGATATGTAAGAATGTAGCTACGATAATACTGGATTAACTATACCAAATATATCTAATTTATTTATTAAAATGGAGTGGTTTACTGTGTTAAATGCCTTACTTAGGTCTGTATAGATTATACCAACACAGCCACCAGCCGATACTATTTCTAGGATATCAGTGTAAAATATAATTAAATTTGTTAAAGTTGATTTAGATAAACAAAATCTGTGTTAAGAGCTGTTAAGGGCATTTTTACATATAATAGGCAATTTTGGCTCAACCTTTTTTAAATAGCTTTGGTAGAATAGTCAATTGAGAGATTGGTCAATAATTTTTAACATCAGACTAAGAGCCACATATAATATAGGATAGATAAACCTGTTTTAACTTATTTTTTCTATATTACTACTATACAAATACACTTTTTTTTTCTTTATCGAAACTTGATTGAAATTTTGTATTCTAGTATAAAATTATTTGTATAATTTGGAATCCTAAGTGGAAAATGGTCTATATATAATCCTTAAATTTCTATCAATCATACATAGTCGCTAATGTATCAAAATTTCTTAAATTTCATAGTTATTATTTAAGTGAAATAAAAAGTAATCATATATATTTTAATATTTAAAGAGTCAACTTTACTTTGTCTTAATTTACTTTACCTTATTATAAAATAATTTTATTAAAAATAATACAACTGAATGTAAAATAATCCATGGAGATAATGAATAAAGAATAAATGTAATCCATATTCTCCACTCATGGCACGAGTTATCTTTTTTTCGGCCAAGCCATGCCCATCCTACAACTAAATCTGGAATTTCTGATGTTTTTAAGTCTGTAAATTAAGATAAATTTAATAATTATTATTGTGTTCAATTTGATTATAAAGTACTTACTAGAACTAATTTCTAAAAGTATAAATAACACATACAATATGCCCGATGTCCAAATAATGAAATAACACAATATTTCAGATCGATACAATAGTGTTTGATCATGTAAATTCTTCATTTTGATCATTATTCTCTAATATTATAAATTCATTATTTTGCCTACAATTTTTGTTTATAGTTATTAGTCATTTTAGTAATAAGATATAAAGTTATAAAGACAAATTAAGATTATTCCCATAATTATCACATTTATTGTAAAATTAAGCAATCTAACAAAAAATTTTAATATTGAATTTCGCCATTAATAATTTATTTTTTATATTTAAACAACAGATTTTAAAATTATAGGAAAGTCAACTAACATATTTTTGTTTATATTTTATATTTTCTAAAAAGTAGGAACATTAAATTTTGTTAGGTCAACATTAGTAAACCCCAAAATATTTTTTTCTAAATTTAAGGAAATTGTAATGTTTTTCGTGAAAAATATTAATATGAGTTTAAAAAAAATATTACTACTTATGATTTAATCAATTTAAAAATAATCATTAAATTAGTTATGCTATTATAGTTAAACATATATTTCTTTAAATTTGAATTTTACTGATAATATCTAATACCAACTTAATATTAACAGTGCACGTGTACATAAAAATTATTTATTTAATGAATATAAGTGTTTAAAATACGAATTAATAATATAAAATAAATAATAAATTATTAAAAACTAATGATGTGAACATTTTTAAAAAATGTTATTATTTTTCTCTATTTAAACTTTAATTAAATATTTTTAAAATTTAAATATTTAGAGAATTATAGACCCCTTTTTTCTTACTTTTAAATTATTCGTCAACTTAGAATAAGCTTCTAACAATATTTTTTTTCACTATAAAAAATTATATCAAATAATATCTACAATTCATTATTATTAAGGGATTAAGGGATTCAAAGGTTCTAAAAATTTTAAAATCATTAGAAAACTAAAATTTCAAATAGGCTATTATATTAAAGAAAATAATTAAAATGAAATAGTCCTGACTAGTTTATGTTGTCCACTCATTTAAAAGTAATGATGAGCACTGTCGAGTGAATACTATTGACTTTTTCGATCGACTAAAACTATCGATTATTTAAAAAATATTTACAGAAATAAATGATTTTTCATAAAGTCAATCCAAATCAAATCATCTAAATATGCCTCACAGCCAATTAAATTTTTTTGGAATTTCACTCGTAAATTTCCTAGTTTTTAAATAAAAATATTTCCAAAAAGAAAACCCAGTACATTGGAGTAGCGGCATAGTTGGGTCCAGTATAGATTTAATCTGACAGTGATTAAAAAATCAATATCATAAAAAACACTTTGATGCAAATCTATAGATAGTGTTTAATTTTTAAAAATTGGTGAATTATTCCAAAAGTAACATGATCTCATATTTTCTTATTTATATCCTGATTACATCTTTTATTTATTTATTTATTTAGTTAGTTTACGGGATGTATCCCTTTTTTTTACAAGCTATGTTTACATATTTAATTTTAACTAAATTGAGAGAAAAATACAAAAACAAACAAAAAATACATAAAAACAAATAACAAAAGACAAATCAAAAATGTTTACAACTAATAAAGCGAAATACGAAAAAGATATTACAAAACTCAATACAAATATTACTATAATATAAAATTAGGATCCGCATTAGCACTTCTAAGTAACCGGCGAAGGGGTTCATTCATTAGGTAGTTCGTGGGGGCATGCGTGACTCGGAAAGGCTCATTCGACCTGGTATTAATTTGCGGAACCCTAAAAGGGATCAGAGATAATAGCGCAGGACATTCTATCTTCCCATCAAGCAAACCCCCGAGAAACCTAGAGCCCGCAATAATACGCCTCGATGACATTGTGGAAAGGCCTAAGTTATTTGCCACGGGGCTATAATCATGGGGTGGACTGGTAAACCCAGCGCCCGCCCAGCAAAATATAGAAATTTATTTTGAACCCTTTCTAACTGGCGACAGTTGTCTGCCGTGTGGGGGTCCCATACCACACTGCCATACTCTAATATAGGGCGGACCAGTGCACAAAACAAAAGTTTTAATGTCTTTTCAAGCTTGAACTCTCTGGTTAATCTAATAAGAACACCAAGCATTTTGAAGGCTTTACAGCAGATATGTTGGATGTGAGCACTGGGGTCAAGATTGTGGCTGAATTTGAATCCAAGGTCCATAATATTGTTAGATGCGCGAGGGATTTCTTCACTACCAAGGCGATATGGGAAAGTAATCGGAGAGTGATTCCTAGAAATGAAAAAGGTTTGCATTTGGATAGATTAAGTGTTAAGCCCTACTTAGTTACCCAGTTAACAAATTTATCAAGATCTGCTTGGAGCCTTATACAGTCAATAGGAGATTGAATTTGCATAAATATTTTCATATCGTCCGCAAAGCAGAGAACACGAGAGTGTTTTAGAGTTAGCTGTATACTATTAACAAATATAGAAAATAGTAAAGGAGATAAGTGCCCCCTTGAGGTACACCTGATTTAGTATGGAATAAGTTAGATTTTATTCCGAAAACCCTAACGCATTGATACCTATTGTTTAAATAAGACTGAACCACGACAGAAGAGGCTCACCGAAGCCAGTTTCTTTGAGCACATGAATTAGGGCCTTATGATTAATTATATTAATAATCTTATTATATAATAGAACAAGGAAAAAAACGCTTTTCTGGGAAAATTACTTAGCGTGCTCGGATTTTCAAAATTTTTTTTTTCAACGAAAGTACTCGGTCACCAGACTCCGGGAAAATTATTGGCGAAGGTCGGAAAATTTTTGCCGCTCGCCCGCGAGCGTTTTAAAATTTCGACTGTTTTCGAGAAATTATTATTTATTCGAGAAATTAAATCAACGTATTATGAACCTTAATTATATGGTGTATTATGTATTATTATTAGGACACTATTTTGGATTTGCCCTATTTTTATCAAGGAATGTTATATGTTATATATAAATTTCATGACGTTATAATTATTTAAGTTTGTACTTTCATTATAAGAACAGTACTAAGTACAGAGTTAATAATTTTCTTTTTTCTCATATATGATGTATGATACTATGTGTTTATCTTTTGAATTGGTGTTCATCTATGATAACTATGATGTTCATCGTTAAATCGCAGTTACCAATATATTTATCAAAATTAAATTTTTATTTTTATTTTTAATATTAATTTTATTTTAATATTAATTTTAATTTTAATTTACAGTGTGCCACTTATAATAACCAGCTAAATTTTAGCTTCGATGCGAAGCGGAGAAGATATTAATTTTACTATGATGTGTTTTTTTTTTTTTTTATGTCTGTTGCCACTT